AGCAGCTCGTCTGCTCTCACCGTGGAAACAGCAAACGGTGCGGTGACATGCGAGTGTTGTTTCTTTGTTTATCAGAGGAATAATCTAGAATCCTCCCTGGCTGAGACGGAGTGCCAATACAACACGCTGCTCGGCGAGCTGCAGAACCAGATCACGTGTGTGGAGCAGCAGTTGGCGGAAATAAGAGCAGAAATAGAGTGCCAGAACCAGGAGTACAAGACCTTGTTGGACGTCAAGTGCCGTTTGGAACAGGAGATTCAGACCTACCGCTGCTTGTTGGAAGGAGGACAGCAGGACCTTATGTACGTAGATCTCTGAATCCAACAGAACCAGGGAAAATGTCAAGACGTGCTTTGTAGATTGGGAATTCTTTGATATCTCTGATATTTCGATGCTCTGAGCTGCTTTACTGCAATGAGTGTTCAGTTCTGAGCTAAATGTCATTCCTTGGGATCTGCAAAGCAGAGGAACCGAATCTTCCAACACCACAACTTCCAGTGTTATGTCCTCGTTTGTCACAGTGTGTTTTCTGTGATCAGATGGGTGACAACTGTCAGAAGAAGAAAACCATTTACAGGGCTCTGCCACTTCCATGCCAGAGGGGGTGTGGAAAGCAGAATGAGAAAAGAACACCGTGTAAAGCGCTCTGTGACATTTGCAACCTCTATGAATGGCATAACGTGACACTTTGAGCCCCTGGTAGTGCCATGTAAAGTTCTAACGCTGCCCATTTCTCTCCCCACATGCATCCCATCAGTCATGGAGGAGGAATCGGAGTAGGGAGCGGTGTTGGAGGAGGAGTCATTAGGACAAGCCACACCTACACTACGACCACAGCATCCCACTGCCAGCCACAGGTCCAGCCCTGCAAGACCGGAGACATACAGGGTAAGAGCTGCTTCCACACCAGGACACCTTTTTGCCCAGTTTGTTCCTTTGCAGTGAGGCCAGGAGACGACGCTTTGTCCTAAACCACCATTCATACATTCTCAGAGAATTACAGTGCTGCAGTTTGGGCTGTCTGGCACTACAGGGCAAAACTGCAGCACCACTAAGAAATATGCTTAGACAGAGCTTGGGCACAACCTGGAGCAATAGAAAGAAAATGTGAGATGTGGGAGTGTGAGGAGAAAGCTGGGGAGATGAGGCATAAGGGAAAGGTGGACATAAAGCAGGAGAGCCCCGCAGGGCTGAGCCACCGGGCTGCAATGGGCACAAAGAGCCAATCTGTCTTCCTACGGCTGCAGTTTGCCACAAAGCACAATTATTTTGGGAGCTTCTGGGATTTCCCACCACCCACTCTTGTTTAACAGAGCCTGTCATTGAAATCAGTGTCCCACACAGCCCAATTTTTGTTCCTCTTTGAAAGACTTTCTCTCTGCCTGAATAAAAATAATGCTTTCCTTTTTTCTGCAGTGACTTGCAGGAGGATCTGTGATTGAGGATAACCGGACCAGGAGATGACACACACAGAAACTCACAGACAAAACAAGAACACTCCGTGTTCACTGCATGCCTCTGTGCAGACAAAGTAGAATTCAGCGACGCTTTGCCGTGTATCTCCGGGCCCCCTGTGGGCCTCCTTTTCTCATTCTGCTGCTTCTGTAACGCCGCAATCTCTAGAAGTTACTTGTGTTAGACAGGATCACTAATGCACCTGCTGGTGAAAAAACTTCTCTAATAAAACTGTGCTTTTGCCTGATGCAATCAACAAAGCCGTGTCTGCACTCTGATTCCCGCAGCCCAGCTATGCTGAGCGCAGTGCACAGCAGAGCAGGAGCTGAGCACAGAGCCCAGCCCAGCAGCAGCACTGCGGATGGGGCCCCGCGCCCCCTGCCCCCCACAGGCGCTGCCCACGGCTCTGCAACCCTGTGCTCTGCACCAAACACGTGGCTGCCCGAAACAACACCCAAAAAAGCCGAGTGGGAAAAGCACCCGGCCCAAAAGCCCATTTCACACCCACTGTAGAGCCTGTAAGACCTAGCACAAACACGACCCGGGACCGAAGGCATGCGAAGACGCTGGAGTCCAACGGCGGAGACTTTAAACTGGGTCTGAAGCATAAGAGCAAAACCGCCGTCCGCTGCAGCCCCGATCGGCCACGGGCAGCGCCCGCCCTCCGGAGAGCCACGGCGCCCTCTGGCGGCACGGAGGCGCTACGGCATTGCGCGGCACGGCACGGCATTGCACGGCACGGCACGCGGACCGCGGCGCTGTGAGATGCTTGGAGGTAAGAGAACGAACAGGAGACACGGCCGGCGGTTGCCCACGGCGCGAGCGAAGCACTTCCACGGCCGCAGACACGGGCTGACGCTGCGCTGCCAAACCCGGCCGGGCCGTGCGGGACGCGCCCGCAGCGCCGCTCAGCGCTGAGCGCCCGCACTGCTCCGCCGCGGGAGTCGTTAGGCAGCAATCGGCTGCTGTTCAGAACTCTCAGCTCGCGCGCCATTAAATAATAAACATGATCGAGTCCCAGTATGATCCAACGAATCTGAATCCAATTTTCGTGGTTTTTTTTTCAACATTCTGATTTTACAGAGATAAGAAAATGTCTGTTTACATCTCAGCCCCGAGGAGAGCGCTGCACGGCCCGGGAAGGAGGAGCAGCGTCTGCCTGCAGGACGAGGGCAGAGCTCCTCTGCGACACAGTCACACTTCAGGGACCGGTTTCCTATTTACTATGAGGAAATACCATCGCATGGGATTATCTGGTGCTAATAAAGTTGATTGATGAGCATATAATGGGAGTTAGCTTATAACGTACAATTATGTGAATGACTCGTATGCCCCACGTAGCTCTTCTACCGTTTTTCTCCACCCGAACATTGAGCAAAAGGACCTTTTCCGACAGACCTGAAGCAGGACGGAGGCGCCGCGCCGGGCACAGCCGCACTCGTTGCTCTCCTGGCCTCGCGGGTCGCAGCAGCTGTGAGCACAGAGCGGGCAGCACTGCGAGCGCCAGCCCTGCGCTGCCGGCCCCCCTCACCCTCCTGCAGCCCCAGCGGCCCTCCCTCCTGCCATGTGCACCCCGGGGACACAGACCCCGTTCTCTCGCAGCCTTTGCTGTCACCAGACACGGCCGTGACCCTGCAGGCTCGCTGATGGGCTGAACTCGTGCCCACGCTATGTGAGCCCTTCGTGCTTAAATACAGCTCCCACTGCTGGGCAGCAGCTCAGCTTTGTCACGGTAAGGGAAGGAACGCGCTGCAAACAGCCGTGGTGCCGCCCGCCCTCAAAGCATCTCCTCTCCTCCACCCCCTTCTGTTACATGCACTGCAGGACGGTGGGTTCTTTTGCTGCCATGAAACCTTCAGCTGACGGTACGCTGTGACCGCGTGTTCTCTCCATTAGGTCACTTAGTGACAAAAAAAAAAAGCTCAGTTTCACAAGCGCCATGTTTTAACCTCACCTCACTGCCATTCACACCTCGTTCCCCATCCTGCGAGGGGTGGAGCTTCCCACGGGCACCCTTCCAGAGGCTCTCACACAGAAAAGACCCCAGCAGAGTTGTTCGGTGCTGGGGATGGGCAACACTGAGAGTGGGACACCTTCAAGGTGCCAAATGGTGACTCCTGACAGCTCCATGACAGTGTAACGGGCCAAAGGGGCTGATAGTGCAGGAGCACTTCAACAGAAAAGGACTTCTTACCAGAAGCAGCTAAATTGCTGTGATTTAGACTCCCCCAGGCTTTGCAGTGAGGGCTGGGAGGGCCTGGCTTCCCAGCACGGCTCGGAAACGAAGTCCAGCAGAGGATGAAACTCCAGGTGTGTCCCCGTGTGTGGGTGAGGGTGTGCTGGGAGGGGTGTTTATAAAGGATGTTTCCACAAACACCTGCTATGAGCCACAACAACCGCATCTCCATTAGCAACAATCAACATCCTGAAGGCTTAGCGAGGAAAAAATAACAGCAGATCAATACAGGAAGTTGGGTGTCACATAAGTGGCTCCGCAGGCGCTGGGCAGCAGTGGGGATGGCAGCACGGGCTGCTGCAGTGCGGGGGGCTCAGCTCTGCTTCCCACGTCTGGAAAAGTCGCAGCCACATCAGAATAAGAAGATGCAACGTTCCTGGCCAGTGTTCCTATTGCAGTCATGCTGTGCCCAACAGAAAACAAAACCGAAGGGAAATGCTGTGCTGGTGTCCATCTGACAGAGTCAATCTCCCAAACAGCCATTTCAGTGAACTGTGGCACACAGCCCTAACACAGCTCACACAATGCACCTCCTTCAACAAAGTGCTCATGTTTTACTGAAGAGATCTCAAGAAATGCAGAGTTCCTTCAGAGTCTTTAGATTGCCTTAAGTAAAAGGGCTCGTGGAGCTGCAGCAGTTGTTTGCTGTGCACCCGGCCTCCTCTGTAAACAGCTGGGTGGATGGAATATGATGGAATAACTTTCTAACACATTAAATGTTTTATTACATCTACCTTCATACTCAGTATTATCTTTGGAGCAGCAGCCCACGCTGCCCTCACAGCCCTTCCACGTCAGTTCTGATGCTTTTCATACTGCAATATAAATATAATCCGTAAAGAACGGCTGGGATTCCCTGACACACATCCAAAGGGGAAGGAGTGTGAGGAAGGACGGCACTGAAGGACACAGAGCACTCAGTGCTGTCACACTGCGATGGCTCGTTGTGCTGGGAGGTGTGTGGGGTGAGGTGAGTGGGATGAGTTTAATTCGGATGAGTGTCAGTGGACTAGATTCTGAAAATAGCTGCCTAACTCAGAGCCACCCAGCAGAAATTACACGCTTTGTGCTAATAAACAAACGGTCACAAACACGGAGTGTGGGCTCAGCTTCCTGAGCTGCCAGATGTCTCCCTTTGGCAAATTACTCTTGGCACCAGGACCACGGCTTGCCACTGCACATGGAAAGAAGGTGCTCCCTTCGGAGGTGACACCCACGGCCCCACTATAAATGCAGCCCAGGCAGGGCAGGGGCCGGAGCTATGATCCCAAGCGGCTCTGACACTCACTGAACCCCGACTGCCGACACCATGAGCTGCTCCCAGAGATCTTCCAGCTGCCTGCGAGGGGGCAGCGGGGGCAGCCAGCACGGCTCTGCATCAGCACACAGATACACCGCGTCCAGGGCGGGCAGCGGGGGCAGCTCCAGGAGCAGCTGCGGGGCGGCGAGCTTTGGGCGGATGAGGCGCAGCAGCTACGGAGGGGGAATGAGCAGCGGAACGGGGGGCAGCTCCTATGCAGGGGGATGGAGTGCGGGCACCTACGGAGGGACGATGCGCTGCGGCGGCATGGGAGGCGGCTTTGGGGCAGGAGGGAGCGGGTTTGGCGCTGGGTACGGAGGGAGCTTTGGCTCGGGCGATGCTGGGTTCAGCGCTGGCAGCTTTGGTGGCGGTGGCTTTGGTGGAGAGAACATGGGAATTCTGTCCAACAATGAAAAGCTGACCATGCAGAACCTTAATGACCGCTTGGCTTCATACCTGGACAAGGTCAGAAGTCTGGAAAAAGAAAACGCTCGGCTCGAACAATTGATCAGGGAGTGGTACCAGAAGCAAGGTCCTGCTGGAAGAAAGGACTACAGCCACTACTACAGCACAATTGAAGACCTTCAGAATCAGGTAGGATGTTCTCTGTCACAGGCGCTTACACCTCTTGCAGCAGAGGCAGCCAGGACACTGCTGTGCTCGCCAAGCGCTGCTCTGAAGGCACTTCGTGTGCCTCAGCTCCACCTTCCACGCACACATCTGACTATCAGCCATGAGAAGGGAAGCAAAGCATCCTCTGCAGTGCGCCCCCCAGCACTCAGCCGGCAGCGAGTTCAGCCCCTCAGAGTGCCTGCAGCGGGTTTCAGAGCATAGGAAAAGTGCCAGTGCTGAGCCGCCAGGCTGGGCAGCGTCCGACGCTTGATTCATCCCTTGGCCCATGGGCTCATAGAGAGCCACAGCGACAGCCCCAGGCCTCCTGCAGGGCTCCTCCCTCCCTGCTTGCATTCCCCAAATGCGTTTTTTGCAGTCCTGATGCTATTTTTGTAGTGGCATCTCTTTGCACTGCAGAAGGCCTCCTCAGGCCTCTCCGTGTAGGAGCTGCTGCTCCTCTCATTCACCTACACTGCAATGGGAAGATCACATTCCAGTGTGTCTCTCCTGTAAGTCTGAGAGGTTCGCAGTGAAAGCTGTCCTTAGCCCATCATCTTCTCTTCTAGATTCTGACTGCGGCTGTGGAGACCAACAAAGTGCTTTTGGACCTGGATAACACAAGGATGACTGCAGAAGACTTCAGGACAAAGTAAGGACATATCTCCCATTTCCAGGCACTCACTTCCTTTCTCCTGCTTTCCTCAACCTCCCCTCAGAAGCAACAGCCCACAAAGCCGAGAGCTACTTCTGGTTCCATGACAGCACAATTAACCTTTAAGACTTCAAGCTCTTAATTATTTCTGTAACAATGCAGAAATGCTCCCTATGGCTGTGAGAACAAAGATCATTCTTTTAGAAAAAGCTTAAAAACTGTTTTATTTTTAAGGAGAAACAAACTGTGGTTCTCTCTCACTGAAAGTCAAATGAAACGCAGATGAACCACACTCAAAGTTTACAGTAAGAGGAGCAGATGACAAAGACTACAAAATTCGTTTTCATATTAAAGTTTGAGTTTTGTAAATAAAGTCAGAAGGAGAAGAACCACAAGCCCAGGATCAGGGCTGACCTGTCTGCATCACCCCTTGTAGGTATGAGACCGAGTACGGACTGAGGCAGAACGTGGAGGCCGACATCAACACCCTGCGGCCCCTGCTGGACAGCCTGACCCTGACCAGGTCTGACCTGGAAATGCAGGCAGAGTCCCTGAAAGAAGAGTTGATTGGCCTCAAGAAGGACCACGAGGAGGTAAGAGCCGGCTCCTCGAGCCGCAGGCTGTGGAGGCCAATGAGAACGCTTCCAACACCGGGAATGTGGGCAGGTTTCCCCAGCGACACCTTCCTGCCCTCCCAACACAGCTGAGCTCCAGGCCCAGACTTTTCCAGGGTCTCTCTTAGCACAGGGCTTCCCACCAAGCAACATCAAGGAAGTCAGAGCCAAGCAACTGCATTAAAATAGCCAGAACACAGAAATATCTATGTTTTTGAAAGGGTCTAGAATAGTTAATGATTCCAGAGGGAGATGACTGGCTCCAAAACTCTTTCACAAAGTAATTTCACCATTTTTGTTTGTGTGCCTTGGGTCTGGGTTTTCTCTGCAGGACATGAAATCGCTGCAAGCACAATCCAGCGGTGATGTGAATGTGGAGGTCAACGCTGCTCCAGGAGAGGATCTGCTGAAAAAACTGAATGATATGAGACAAGAATATGAACAAATCATCCAGAAAAACCGTGAAGAGGTTGAAAGTTGGTATGAGAGCAAGGTAAATGACCAAGCATTGAATGCCTCAGCTCCTCGTGCAGTTGGATGCTTCCATGATAACTGTGGTGGCCAAAAAACTCCAACAATATACATTCATTTTTCAGATAGAGGAGGTGAGCCAAAAAGTCCACTCAAGTGGTCAGGAACTGGAATCAAGCAACCAACAGATCTCTGTGCTGAGACGTGACTATCAGGGCCTGGAAATTGAGCTGCAGTCTGAGCTCAGCAGGGTAAGCAGAGATTGATTCTAAGCCTGATACGTGAGTGGCTGCAATGGCAGGGGAAGCAGCTCTCTGCAGCTAAAGCTAGCATTCCATTTAGAAACAGGATGTTTGGCACATGGACAGTGTGAAAGGTTTTTCTCCTTTGGGTCACAAGAATGGGCCAATCTTGCCACATTCCCTTAAGAAACTACTTTTCATTCTGTTCTCAGGTAGGGGCTTTGCAGTCCAACCTGGAGGACACAGAACGCCGCTACAACATGCAGCTGCAGCAGATCCAGGGCATGATTGGCCCCTTGGAGGAGGAGCTGGGCAGCATCCGCTGCGAGATGGAGGGCCAGAACCAGGAGTACAAGGTGCTGCTGGGCATCAAGACCCGCCTGGAGCAGGAGATTGCTCAGTACCGGTCACTGCTTGAGGAAGGACAGCATGACATTAGGTATGCACATGGGGAGTAACTAATATGCAGAGCAGTTAATTTGTTCCCGATTAGGACAGTTTAGAAACAGAACGCGTTTCACACAGCAGCACTTTCCCATCATACAAGGAGCTCAGAGGAAGGCAGTCAGAGAGTGGCCCGATGGGGTTGGCAGGATGTCACGCATCAGTCGTGTTGCTGTGCATCTCAGCCACGCACGCCCTGTCCTCCTCACAGCACCTCGCAGGGAGCAGCCGGTGCTGGATCTTCTGGAGGACACGGAGGAACGAGTGGTTCTGCACGAGGTGGAAGTGGAGGAGGAAGCAGCTGGTGCTCAGGTGGAGGAAGCAGCGGAGGATCTGGGGGAAAAACTTCTGGAGGAGGAGGAGGAGGCAGCAGCAGAGGAGGAGGCTGTGGAAAAGCTTCAGGTGGAGGAGGAGGCAGTGGTGGGGGAGAAGGGGGCAAAGGCTGCCTCTCCCGCTCATCATCCTCCCATTCCCAGTCCGGCAGCTCTTGTGAAAGCCCAGGTAAGAACTGGAAGAAAGGAATACCTCCCGTGTCCTTCCGTTAACTCTTCTCTCTGAACAGTGGCAAAGGACATGAAGACATCTTTCCTTATTTGGAAATCTGGAGGTGTTTTTTATGTTTTTTTGTCAAATTCATGTTTAAGTCATTTATTTCTTATACAATCACATATCAAAATGGTTTCATTTTCACAAGCGGCTCAAATTTAAATGATGATATGAAGAGTTTAATCAGACAAGGTGTAGAAGTAGAAAATAAAGGATAATAATGCCCAGTTGAAAGCAAGGGGCCAGAGAAGTCAGAAGTATCCTGAAGCCAAACATTAGAAACTTAATTGCTATTAAGAGAGAAACACGATTAAAGCGGAATAGTTGGAACACTCACAACATTTAAAATATAAAGAGTGTTAGCTGCAAAAGACCTAAAGCAGCAAAAGATGGAGAGTGACCAGACGGTCTTCTCTGTGTCTGACTTCATGGCTGTGGTTCCAGGAGGTGCTGAAAACTTGAAGCTCTGCCTGGAAGGGAATAAAACATTGGAGAGAGGAGCCACAATGGAGGAAGTGTCCGAAGCCATAAAAACTTTGAGATCACGTAAGGCTTCAGGACCTGACAGCATCTCAGATGCCTAAAAATGCTGAAGGTTAGCATTTCTAGAAAGCTTCAATCAGACATTCTACTTGACCTGCAGCAGTCCTCCATGTGATAACGTTTGGCAGGCAGGAGAGGCTGACAGAGGCGGCATCTCTTCAAAGAAATTCTTGCTTCCCTTCATCTTTCCCCAGGGAGTTTCAGGACGGCTGAGCACTGATGGCTGCAGCTCCCAGCGGCTCCGGCCTTGGAGGAGAGGAGCATCCCTGTTCCATCCCAGCTGCCTCTCCACCTGAATTTCTGTGCTGAATCACTGTTACCGGTGTCAATCTCTACCGTGATTGGTATTTCTCTGGGAAAAAGATTACTCTAATTAATAAACCTTTACTTCTCTCTGATGCAACCAGATAGCTGTATCTGGCAGCAGTCTCCTTTAGCACTCATTTTTGCATGAATTGGTCACAAACGTCACACCCTGCCTGTGGAATGCACAATAGCAACTCATTTAGATTAGTCAAAAGACCCCAGAGCTCTCAGCAGCATGTTCACCACTTAGGAGAACTGCCAAAGCCTCCCAGCCGTGCTGTGATGCTCACAGTGTGAGAACAGCCACCAGCAGTGCCATGGCACAGAGTGCTGGGAGGGGGTGGCTGTCCCCGATGGGCTCTGGAGATGAGTGACCCAAACTGCACCCATGGTGTCTCACAAAAGAAGGAATTGAGGCCACTTGTACTGATCACAGCCATGCAGCTGTGCAATATTTGGCCTCACCAATGTATTTCCTCTTCAGGGCATTTCCAGTGCTTGAGGATGAACAGACACATACTTTGCACAGCAGACAGACAAACTGTCCATACCTACAATCTTTTACAAAACCCAGAGGTAGGCTATAAGTACAGGAAACCCAAGAGAAATGATTCCCAGGTGGTTGTTAAGGGCTGCTCACAGAGCGCACAGCAGGGGCACTGCTGGGAGCAGTGGGGGCACAAGCAAAACTCTCCTCCTTGCTTTAATTACAGACCCATACCCACCCCCATGTCCTGGATGGGCCCCAACGGCAGGGGGCTCCTGCAGCCTGCACCCAATGCTGTGCCCACACAGCGCTTCTCTTTTCTGCTCAGGATAATGAAAGTGTGGGGACGGTGCTGAACGTCCCTGCGCTCAATTAGCAAAACAAACCGTACACAGAATTTGCCTGAATACAACTCAGAGGACTCTGGGCACGTTCTTCACCCCTTGCCTTTCTCGATTCAACACAACCCAAAGGAACCCAGGTTTATCACTGGCATCGGATTTCTCTCCCGGTTTTGCCCAAGACGGGGCTGTCACGAGCTCTGCTTTCTCACTCCGAGGGCGGCATCGGCCCCTGGAGGGGGTTGAGAAACACTGATCCAGTGGGAGACCGTGGGAACGGGACGCGTAGGGCCCGCGCTGTAGGCACGTACGTGTGGGTGATTCATGGCACTGCCCTGCGCCGGGCGCTCAGCCAACGGATCCGGCTGTAAGAAAATAAAATTCCTCTGACCGCAGTCTGTGCGGGCACCCAGGAGCTGGCGAACCTTCGTAAAGAACTGCCTGACATACGAGCAGGTACTGATGTCCCTGACCTCGTGTGCTAAAGAGGCAGTGCTGATTCTCAGCTTCATTCTACTGCAAAATCACCTGCGCCCCTTTAAATCATCGCAGCCCCGCATGTCTGCACTGCCAGCTCACCCAGCCTTCCCTACTTGCTGCACTCACTGCACTTCTTGCAGGCTGCGATGACTTTCTGGCACATCTGCTCAGGGCAATAAGCTGACAGGGCACAGCAAAGCGTGCTGCTCTGCCACGGCACCGCTCCTCCATCCTCAACTTCCAGAAGCCCAGTGTCCTCCTGCTGCTCTCGGTGTCTTCCGTCACTCTGAGGCACACAGAGGGGTCACACTGAGAGGACAGAAGGGCAGGAGTGCCTGCGATACAGCACGGCGTGCTGCTATGTGTGTGCTGCCATGGATGTGTCAGAACCACGCTCACAAGTAAGGAGACATTTCTGAGTAATCAGGACAAGCAGTGCAACACTGCAATTCCTTTTGCTGCTCAGGGCTCTCCATTCTGTTTTCCTCCTAAAATTTCCTTTCCCAAACTTGCTTCCTTACCTTAAATTTGTACCTTCCTTAAACACAGCTGCTATAATGCTGTTATGTTGCACACAGTGAGCCTGCATCCATCATGCAGATCCACTTCAAAGGATATTATTTGCTACTCCTTGCAGTATGTGACAAAGTAAACAGAAGCCGCTGAAGAACTTCAGAAACCCCTGACTTAATCATGGCATCACAGCAGACAGAAGGGAGATGGCACTGGGATGAATTGATCCCGCAATGTGGAAGCAAATGCCAAATTAAGAATTCTTTCATTTTTCCTTTCTTTTTTTTTCTTTTTTAATACAAAATCTGCATTCATACCACTGGTGTGGCAGTGTATATTTATGAGAGCAGTAACAACAACGGTGACAGATACGTGTGTGGAGGAACAGAGCCACAGAACCGAAACCATCGGAAAAAACCTGGAGAAAAATGGAATTGCCCCAGCTTGGGGTGCTCAGAGCGGGGCCTGAGCGGGACTGACAGGAGGGAGGACAGCCCTGCAGGTTTCATTTGCACGCACTTTGTTAGGCATTAATCTGCATAATAAGCTTTAATTTTATGAGCACAAAATGTTGCAATTTGGATACTTATCTGGTCCTGCTATTAGTGCTCTGAGAAGAAAATTGCAGTGCGTGTTGGAACAGGACCTTCAGAGCAACCTTTGGCAAAAATAAACGTGCACACGCACTCCTGTGTGTTTGCTCCCGAGCTCCCAGAGCAATTCTTGTGCCCGTTTGAACACACAGATGGAATTTCCAATGTTCCATATTGCCTACAGACGTGTTCTGCTTCCCTCCCTTTTGTCCAGCAGCAGCACTGTGCTGCCAGCACAAAGCGAGCCGTGCTCAGAAGTGGCGCAGGAAGGGACGGCAGGGATGAGGGGGGCCCACCTGGATGGGAGCGGCGCTGGGGGAAAACGTCCTGCAGGCTGTGGAGCACCAACAGGCATCAGCTGCGAGGGCTGCATCCCAGGAGCTGCCCTGACCCTCTGCAAGGCACAGAGCAGAGCAGGAGCCCACAGCTCAGGCTCAGGGCACAGCGTGACTCCAGCCATCCTGTGCCGGGTCCATCTAAATTCCTTCAGAAATCACTGTGATTTCAGGGAAATATTTTGAGATGAAGCGGGAATCGGGAGAGAACACTGAATCCCAAATGAATACAGATTGCTTCTTGCAAAAATTTCTGCTAAGAGTGATAGAGATTATTAATTAGATCGAGAGAATAAAGCTGCAGCACTTGCCTGAGGCACGGCATCAGCATGGCATTGTGTGCAGGGGAGATGTAAGTTTTCTGGAATGGAGACCCACAGAGAGCACACAGGTGAAGCCAGCAGCTGCAGCACACAGCAGCCACCACTTTGCTCACCCTGCAGCAGCTCCATCCTCGCTCTGAAGGGACACAGCCGTTTCTCTGATATGGATCAGGGAGGTTTGATGGAAAGGAAGACAAAGCTGAGTGTCAAGAATGTCAGCTGTACCTGAAACGTGACGTGCTGAGCACAGCACAGCGCTGTCAAAACACTCTGCAGGCTGAGCAATGCTGGCAGCTGTGGCCATAAATGTCTTTATTCTGGGCCGATTTGGAAACAGTGGTGTTACGCAGCACAGCGCAGGCTGCAGCACACATCTGCAACTTCAGTGTTTGAGACTTGAAGAGACAAACTGCACCTCCTGCGAGGTGGCTGTGACAGAAACAAAGCATCCCGGGGGGATGTTACAGCTCCAAACAACGCAGCAAGGCCCGAGAGCCAGCAGGTTTCCATAAACACTGACATCAAACTGGCAGCAAGAAGGAAATACAACGACATAATAGGGAACATCGTATCAGCATATGACTTAAAAGCTACCAAAGCCTTCTGTTGGTGCTCCTCCTGTGTACACGTGTAGCAGTAAGAGCACAGAACGACAATGAAAGGCTGAGGCCATCTGAAGCCCTGCGGCTCCATGCCGTGGCTCCTTTCTCTCACTGCTTTTCTGCTGTTTTCCTAGCTACCATGAGATGTGCCCTCACCAGGAAAACCTTCAGGTATCAACAAGTCCCTGCAGTGAACAAGTACATAGGGAAAAAGGAGACATACAGAGAAAAGGGAGTACATGTAGAAAAAGGAGAAAACAGCGTAGATACTCAGGAAGGACATAAACAGATTAAGAGACTCTTTGGGCAAATGTTGCTCCTCCTGTTGCAGTAACTTTGGAACATTTTTTGCCCTTTATCACTAACAAACCCACCGAGCGCTCAGCCTGTCTGTGAAAAACCAACTCCAGCAGCAGTGATGGAAAGCTGACCACAGTGGGATCCGTGAGGAAGGGCCCCACTCCCCACCCCGTCCCGACCCACACACAGAGCAACACAAAAACCAAATGCTTTTGTTTTGTGAATGATGCCTTTCAACACCAGCGGGAGGACGTGGATCCCAGAAACTGTGTTTGGTGACACTGCCGTCCCCAGCTGCACATCCCACAGATACGATCGCATCATCAAGGCAACTGAAAGCTTTCATCATCTGTCAGCTATTGAGAGTATAAAATAGCAAGATAAGATCAGAGAGCTTTTGAAAGAGATTGCACAAGCAGCAATATAGCAACATCGACTGAAGCACAGTCCAAAGCACAGCATGATGCATCCAGGCAGAAAATACTAAATAATGTTAAATTTAATGTGAAAAAAAAGGCCTGGAGAAGCAGCGGTAGAATTTGTAAAAGAATTATGCACATGGATACAGACAGCAGTGTGGAAAGCAGCCGTGATCCATCTGCAGGGTCCCCCAGGGTGCTGCCGCTGTGCTCTGCGTCTGCATGGAGGAGCTGCAAAGCAGAATGCACAGCCATACAGAAGGGTGCATGTGAGAGCAGACAGCTGATGCTGAGGAACAGATCTGCACTCGAACCAAAACATTTAGCTTACACCCAGGGCAAAGATGAACCAGTCTAACACAAGTCGAACTTCTGCAGGTGACGGTGCTCACTACCAAAACTCCGCCAGCTCTGCGTGCCACAACGCTGAGAGCCTTTCAGCTGTGCTCTCACAATAATATTTTAAGCTGACTGATCTGTGCACTGTAACACACGCAGTCCACGCAATTGCTCTGTTGTCTATAAGGTAAGGCACAATAGAGACAATGAGCTGTTCTACCTTAAACCTTACAGCTCTTCCCACACGGTGGTTAGCAGGTCATTGCCTGGCTTCATAAAGCTTCTAATTGAGCTGCAATTTACTTTGACTTTATAGAGTGATTAAAGCATCCTTAATCTTCATGTGATTTTAGATCAGCATCTCTTTGGTGAAAAATAGCTTTTTTCCTTTGAGTTCTAGGAGAGCTGAGTCCTAGCTCAGTCCTGCGAGCTGAGCTAACATTTCCCACACAGGAAGGGTTTTGGCTTTAAAAACGCATGGCAGCGCACTGCAAGGAAGGCTGTCTCATACATAAAGATGTTTCCTGAGTGCTGGCAGGGATGCAGCAGTTTTGGACGATCCCAGTAGTCAAGTCTTACTACAAAACTCTTACATTGCCACAAATAATAGTACTAGTAACAATAAGAACAATAATAAAGCAGTGTAAGAGTCCTTAATTGCACAAAGTAGGAAAGAGCAGAAGAGAAGAACAGCATCCAACAATGGCAGCTACAAAAACCTGAGCAAGGAACATAAATGAATAAAAAAATCAATAATTGTACAGCCTTAACATGAGAGATTCGGGCATCATCTTTCTTTCTCCCTGTACAGAGCTCCCACATGAGCACAACAGGACCCTGCTGAGGTGCTTTTTGCACTTTGAAGCAGACCTGGGCTGCAGGAGGCCACCGGTACCAGAAAAGCTAAATGCAAAGAATGCCACCCAAAGAAAGCACAGCGTTTGGTCTTGAACAATCACCATAAACTCAGCACTGGGACAGATTGCCTGAGATATCAGCAGAAAAATATTGTTCAGCAAATTATTCTTGGCACAAACAACAAGGCCAGTAAATGCCCTGGGAGAAGGGAACTCCCTGATGGTGACACCCACTGTCAAAAGTATAAATAGAGAGTGCTGGGGATGAAAATTTACAGTCCTGAATCTTATCAGGCTGTGCACCTAAACTCGGGATTGTGGTTCGACTCCTGCCTGCTGCCAGTATGAGCTGTGGCACCAAATCCTCCTCCAGCACCACCAGGATCAGCAGCGGCGGTGGCGGATACGGCAGTGGTGGCGGCGGTGGAGGGGGCAGCGGCTGCGGCATCCGCAAGTCTGGCGGATACTCCTCGGTGTCCACCAGAAAATACACCTCCTCTGGAGGGAGCGGAGGCTTTTCTGGGAGAAGCTTTGGTGGAGGAGGCTCCAAGAGCAGCTATGGAGGGGGGTTCAGCAGCGGCAGCTGCGGAAGGATTGGCCGCAGCAGCTATAGTGGGAGAGTGAGCGGCGGCAGCTACGGAGGAGGAATAGGAGGAGGATATGGATCGTGTGGAGGTGGCTTTGGGGGCATGGGAGGGGGTTATGGAGGAGGCAGCTTTGGTGGTGGCTCTGGTGGATACAGCGGAGGTGGATTCAGTGGCTTTGGGGGCAGCGGTGGCTTCGGTGGGGGCAGCTATGGTGGAGGCGGTTTTGGCGGAGCGGGGTTTGGTGAAGATTCTGGACTGCTCTCCACAAATGAAAAGCTGACCATGCAGAACCTTAATGACCGCCTGGCCTCCTACATGGATAAAGTACGAGGCTTGGAGGAAGAAAACGCTCACCTGGAACGTCTGATCAGGGAGTGGTACCAAAAGCAGGGTCCCACGGGTTCCAAGGACTACAGCCAATATTACCGAACAATTGAAGAACTGCAGAACCAGGTATGGTGTGATTTGGCAAACTTTGGGCAGGGTCTCATTAGAACGGCCTCACACTTGCTACAGCACAATTTTCCTGTTTGGGGTAACATATTCCTTTCCTTACTTGAGGCAGCATCAGACAGTTGTGACGACAAGGCCTGACTCTCAGCTTTTGTTCACTCTGCTTGATGTGTGATGTTGCTCTGACACAGAAGCACCATTTGGTGCCCAGGGCTCCTTTCAATGCTGTGCTTTATTTGCTTCTCTCTCTCCTGAACAGGGCACAGAATCATTGTTTGCTTCTGTTGTGCTTCCAGTGGCCATCTAAATGGAACTGTGAATGCATAGGATGAGTTAACATGGGCCACAGCGTTCAGCCCCATTCCAGCTCTCAGCTGTTCCAGAGTCTCCTACTTTAATACTGATGCCAAAAGCAAGGCTAATATTTCCACTGTTTTGGTAGTATGGAGAGTTTATTTTGTTATTCTTCCCAACAAAGAATAGCACTTCTGATGGTTACCCATAAACTAAAATTGGCAGCTGAGGCACCAACCAGCGCTGATTCTACAGAAAGGTGCTCCTTTAGCTGGAAACAATGAACTCCTCTCTCTGTGCAGCCTCTGGAGATTGGGCAAGCTTGTCTCAGAGATGCTCTGGAATGTGTTAATGCACAGGGATTTCTTCCCTCTGTTTGTGTGCCAGACTGAACAGACGGCTGGCTGACCAGCATCTGCCTTCTCCCTTGCAGATTGTTGGTGCAAACGTGGACCTGAACAGGATGCTTCTTGACATTGACAACACCAGGATGACTGTGGATGACTTCAGACTGAAGTAAGTCTTTTCCTCCTCGTCTCATGTTGCCTTTGGTCCCTTTCCTACCACAAGTTTGTATTGCCAGTCTTTGGAGGTACTGCAGTGTCTTGGCTCCAGCAGCAGAGCAGGCTGTTGGGAAGAGCAGGAATTTGTTTCTCGTTAGAATTTTGCTTCAGAGAAGTTGTTGATAAGTGCTGTTTATAGGAAACATTCTGTTTCTCCATATCTGCTTTATAGGTTTATAAACTTTATCAGAGAAATCCTACAGAGTGATTTCACTGAAATCAAACAATCCTACTGGAGAGGGAAAGAGAATCAGGTCCTTGCTTTTAAGAACAAACCAATGGGACCAGTGACCAAAGGCGTACTGATGGGAACTGTGCCTAATGAAGAGACCAGAGAGCTCTGGCAGCAGTTTTACTTTTTTTCTTGTCTGTGATTCAGGTATGAGACTGAGTACACTCTCCACCAGAGCGTGGCAAGTGATATTAATGGATTACGTCCACTTTTGGATCAACTGACTCTATCCAGATCGGACTTGGAGACCCAGTTTGAATCCCTGAAAGAGGAACTGATCTACCTTAAGAAGAACCATGAAGAGGTAAATTTCTCTACACTTTAAAATAATAACTAACAAAAAATTATCACTCCAAGAATCTCCCGTGCATTTCTTCTGCTGGCAGCAATGAGATTTGGCTGCTGGGAGGATCTGTGGCCCTTCCTGTTCCTGTTTTTAAAGCTACATTTCTTCTCACCTTCAACCTTTCCAAGTTTTGTTTTCTTTTCTTTCTCATAGGAAATGAAAGGACTGCAAACACAATCTGGTGGTGATGTCAATGTTGAGGTCAATGCTACTCCTGGCACTAACTTGATGGAAAAATTAAATGAAATGCGTTCCGAATATGAGCGGCTTATTGAGAACAACCGAAGAGAGGTGGAAAGCTGGTATGAAACCAAGGTAAAGCATGAGATTCTTTGGGTCAGTAAATCTTTCACCAAGATTCTGTTTGCACACAGTAGGGCACAGGCAACTCATCAGGTATTATACAAGGGACTACTAAGTGATTTTGGGTATGGGAAGAAGTGGAATCCCTGTGTTCCAAGAGCAAGGTGAATGAAACGGGTTGGGTGTGGGTGAACAGAGTGGCCTGGGGGAAATCCACAGTCAGTCTACATAACATCTCTATTTATACATATTCCTTGCTTCCTAAATGCTTTTATGACAACACCACAATGTCCTCTTGCAATCAGAAGACTGCAAAGAAAGACCTGAGTTTTGTATGACAATTTTTCAGATGGAAGAAGTTAATCAACAAGTCCATTCAAGCGGCCAGGAGATACAGTCCAGCAACCAACAGATCTCTGAGCTGAGACGCGAATACCAAAGCCTGGAAATTGAGCTGCAGTCGCAACTCAGCATGGTAAGTAAAGGTGGCTGCTTCTGCTTCCCCTGTAACACAGGCTGCAGGCGCTCTCAGAATGAAAGGAGGTTGGTTACAACTAGCGTGTAACTGCGCAGACGGGGTGCTGGATTGTGTTAGCAAAAACACACCTCTCTGCTTTGTGCAGATCTCCCACTTTGTCACCATCACGAGTTCCGCTTGCCACGTTCCCACGAACACTGCACTGTTTCTTCCACTTGCAGGTAGACTCTTTGCAGTCCAACCTGGAGGACACAGAACGCCGCTACAACATGCAGCTGCAGCAGATCCAGGGCATGATTGGCCCCTTGGAGGAGGAGCTGGGCAGCATCCGCTGCGAGATGGAGAGCCAGAACGAGGAGTACAAGATGCTGCTGGGCATCAAGACCCGCCTGGAGCAGGAGATTGCTCAGTACCGGGCACTGCTTGAGGAAGGACAGCAAGACCTTGTGTATGTACCCTGACAAAAGGACGCAGCATTGTGCAAAAGCCCAGACAGTAGCAGTGACTGTCACAGTTTAGACTTGCAAAACAGGTTTTAAACTAAAATGAGGATAATCAGCCTTTTTAACCAATCACCTCCCAGGTTTGAGGTACAATGCATTTCTTGGCAAATCTATTCAGAACAGAAATGGTCTGAGAAAAATATCAGTACAGAAATTCTGAACTCCCGGCTTTGGGCTGGACAAGGGAAGCCACGCATGTGGCCTCGCTTTTACCCCAGTGCTGGAAAGGACCAGGAGTTCAGCAGATGGAAGTCACCTTGAAAAGGCCTGTATGGAGAAAAATTAAAGGTTTCAGTTGTCTTTTGATCTGTGTGGGGTTCCAAAAAGGAGAAGTACAGACAGGAGAAGTGCAAACTTGTGAGCAGTGCTTCTGAAAACAACAGCGCATCTGACTGACCTGTTATTCATGTCTTCTCTCTTCACAGAATCCCAGCAGGAGGAATAGGAGGAGGAATGGGAGGAGGAGGAATGGGAGGCGGCAGAATAGGTGGTGGTGGTTTCTCTGGAGGAGGAAGAGGAGGAAGTGGCAGCATGGGTGGTGGAATGGGAGGAGGAATAGGAGGAGGAAGCGGAGGAATAGGAGGGGGAAGCGGAGGAAGCTGCATCATTGGAGGAGGAGGAAGCGGAGGAGGAGGAAGGACCTCAGGAGGCATCAGCAGTTCCCACTCCTACTCTTCATCTTCGCAGTCTCAGTCATGCAGGGGCGGTGGTGAAAGCCAAGGTGAGAACTCCTTCATGGGAACAGCTTGCCCAGTCCCATTCTTACTAATTGATCCGCTGTGCCAACATCTTCTCCTGCAGGCAAACAGTAGCAAGGATAAAAAAGCACTTCTGGAAAGTGCTAGATCCACTTTTATGACAACGTCTTTCGTATCCGTGTGCAAAGGACTGGTTCTGGTTAAGATACAGTTTCAGTTTTGGTTCGGTTTTGAGGATAATATCACCATGTCACGTAGTTAAAAACCTGGCTATAATTCTTTTCATACTGAGCTGAAGTTTTCCCTCATGCTTTTGGGAGAGCTTATGGCCATCTATCACATAACCAAGCTTCTTTGGTGCCACATGTGGTGCCTCAGAGATCAGCTGCCAGTGCTGAAGAAGTTAATGCTTTCTTTATCTCCAAACAGGTTACGGAAGAAAATCCTTTGACTAAGAACTGAGGATTCTACTGTGCAAGACCTGTCAAAGAGAAATCGGCCCAGCACCCCAGTATTCCTCAGGCTCCTGAGAAAGGAGATGCTCCTACCAGCTCCTTGCTGCTGCTGCTCTGCCCAAAGGGTCCGTCAGAGCCGCTCTGACAGGCCAGCTGCTGTGCGTGCCATGCGCTGCCTCTGCATAGAATGCTTGGTGGGCTCAATCACTTGAACTTGAACTGCTTGCTTTAAAGATTCAACCAGTTTGTTATTTGGTTGTTCTGTACGAGAAAAGCGTCTCTAATAAAACTTCATTTCTGTCTGATGCAACCAGAATCCCATGTCTACGATTTCTTTTTCCATTCTGCAAATGTAAACACTTAAGAAAACAGAAAGCCATGCCAACACTTGCCTCCAGGCAGAAAGGCTGACTATGCACTGCAACTGCTGCTAATGAAATTTAGAGTTAAGGCTCTGTTTCTGAGTACCTGGGGCAGATTATAATCTTCTTGGAGCATCCTCTGCTGTGCCTTTGTTTTTCATGGAGCACTTGGTAGTGCAGCTGAGCTCTGACACTCGGCTGCAGTTGTGTCAGTCAGACTGCAGAATGGCAGCACGGCTGATAAAAGCGGCCTCAAATGAGTGTCCTCCTGGGCCTGACAGGGAGACATGAGCCATCACAGAGCCAGGACTGTGAAACAAAAGCAAAGTTTCACTTTGTGGGTCAGAAATTCTTAGCTGGCACTCATCAGTTTCAACTGGAAATGCACAAATGTGGTCTGCTTTTGAACTAAAGGAAAAAAAGAGGAAGAGAGGGAATATAACTCACTTCACATAACTTTAAGAAGATCCCTTCAAGTTAGTATTCACAGCAGAATTTGCCTTCTAGTTGTGCCAAATGAAGAACACATGAAAGTAACCAGAGTGTTTATTTTTGGTTATAGGAAGATCTGACTGTGAGGGACATTGCCACAAACTCCTACACCCACATCCAGCCGTTACCTGCAGACGCCGCTGGCCGCAGACGCCAAGGCAGCCCCACAGCCCACCCACCTCAGCCCCCCTGCCTGCAGGCTGTGCTGCGGGAGCTGCATCTGCACCTCCAGCTGAATGTGCTCCCTGTTTCTTCATATTCATTATTTCAAAGCAATTGCAGTACAGCTTTCTCAGCAATTGAGACAGTTTTGATCATCAAAACAAAGCCGGCTGGTTTTACTGCAGCCCACCCCCAGGATAAAGCCCACTTCCAGAGACTTGGCTGGAAAAACAATTTCTCCTGCATCCTAAAAAACTCCCAGATCGAAGTAAATGAAGCACAGAGTTGGGCCCCCAGAGCAGTTGTGCACATTTCAGGAATCTCAGGAATTTCTTCATGAAGCTTCAGAGGAGAGAGCGCTGCTAAAGCATGCAGATCGTAAGCCAGAGCTTTATTGCTTGTAATGAGAAGCAAGCACCAGAACTCCTCAGAGCTGACTGAAAGACCCAGTCCATGGCACAGCCACCAGGCACTGCGAGCAGAAGCAGCTCAGGCCATGCAATCCTCAGGGAAACTCATGGGGAGCGCAGGGGCAGGCGCTGTACAGCTCCAACTGCACGAGGCCTAAACTGTGGTGCAGGGCTGTGCTCAGGGAATGGCTTCCAATGGCGAACAGACACAGAAAATGTGCATTTTGTGCAAGAGCAGCCAGCAGGACAGACTGAAAGCACAACAGGCTGCAGCCCCACTGCCTTCAGCAGAGAACAGGAGGGAACTCGGCCTGCTGTGCTTACAGAAAAAGAGCACATCGGGTACGGGCAGGAGCTCCCCTGATGGGAGCAGCAAGGAAACAGCAGAAAGTTCACAGCAACGCTCTCTGCCATGAGACACAGTAACATGTTTTTCAAAAGAATAACGTCCTCCAGTAAATGAAAATAGATGTGTAAATAGTTGATGTCAATTCCAAACCCGGTACTGAGCAATGAGCCCCCTGCAGGTGGCTGCAGGCAGGAGGCACTGGGCGCCCCTGCAGAAGGAAGGCAGGAGCTGGAACCCCGAGTTTCACCACAGGGAAGGCCAAAGGAGACAAGCAAGGCGGAGCCTTCATTAACTTCCATTACTGGAGATATACTGTCAGATTAATAAAAGCTATGAGATATTATATTATCCAACAAAGTATCTGACAAAGAGCCACCCACATGAAATTACAGTGCATGTGTGAATCAACACAGACATACTTGAGCAGAACAGTAATGCGTATTACTTTCCTATGACAAAATTCCCCTTAGCTCATCACTTTTGGCACGAGCGCTGTGGCTGGCAAACCCCATGGGAAGCGGCACTGCCTGGAGGTGACACCCACCCGGTGAGGTATAAAGAGGCCCCGGCGAGGGCAGGAGGCAGCGCTTCCACTTCTGCATCGGGCTCGCAGCAGGCTCGGCTTTTGTCGCCACATCCACCTCTCACCATGAGCTGCAGCATCAAGAGGACATCCAGCACCTCGTACCGCAGCGCAGGCGGGGGAGGCATCTGCGCCGGGGCCGGCGGCAGGAGCTCCTCCGCCTCGTGCCGGCGCTACGCCTCCTCCGTGATCGGCGGCAGCTCCGCGGGGGCAGCGTGCGGCATCGGCTACGGCGGGGGCATGAGCGCCGGCAGCCTCGCCGGGGGCTTCTGCGGGGGCCTGGGAGGAGGCTTCGGGGGCGGCTTTGCGGGAAGCTTCGGCGCCGGGGGGGACGCGCTGCTGAGCGGCAACGAGAAGATCACCATGCAGAACCTCAACGACCGCCTGGCCTCCTACCTGGACAAGGTGCGAAGGCTGGAGGAGGACAACGCCCAGCTCGAGCTCCACATCCGCGAGTGGTACAGGAAGCAAGCTCCCAGCGCCTCCAAGGACTACAGCTCCTACTACCAGACCATCGAGCAGCTCCAAAACCAGGTAGGGCAGCCCCGCGGCGCCACTCCATCTCCCGCACCAGCGCTGCCCCGAAACTCTCACTCCTCCCCGCTGCCTTCCACGGCCTGGGGCATTTGGGGGCCGCCCGCTGCTGTCCTAGGGGCTGCTCGCCTGCCCCACAATGCCCAGCAGGGAAGGGTTGGGCTATGGGGGCACAGCCTGAGGCTCCATGGGGCCTCCTGCAGCCCAACCACGCTGGAGCACGTCGCTGGATCCCCACGGTTCCACACTTTCCGCACTGCTCCCATCCCACAAAACCAAACAGCTGCACTGCAAGACCTGCATTGCCTTTGGTTTTGCACACTCCCACACAAGTCAGTCAGAAGGAACAAGGCTTTCCCTTGCTGCTATCTTATTCCAGTTCCAAGAAATTTCAGTAAACAATCTAGGAAGGATCACATTGCAGGAATAGGGATAAATGCAGTCCCCAGGAGTCGTAGATAACTATTTCCAACTTGACAAACAGCAGCATAGCCTGAGTTTCTTTGAAAAGCAAATCTAGAGCACAATCCACTCCCACAGTCCCTGCAATACAGCAGGAAACAGCTCTGAGTTTGGCAACAAAGCCCTCTCAGAGCTCTGGTTCCATTCTTCTTCTCCTGCACCTTGAGCACTGACTGACTCCTCTCCAACCTCTTCTTTTGCAGATCATTTCTGCCACTGTGGACAACAACAGGATGCTTCTGGACATCGATAACAGCAAGATGACTGCTGATGACTTCCGAATGAAGTGAGTAGCTCTCTGTGAACCCCACATCTGTTCTGTCTTAAATTCAGCAGGCAAGGCACTGCACCACGTGCTGTGACTGAGCCTCCATGTTTTATTGGGGTACTGTCATGGAAAGACGTGCTGTTGACGGCCATCATCTCATTTGTCTCTGTTGTCTGTGGTAAAGGTATGAAAATGAACTGGTCATCCGTCAAACTGTGGAGTCTGACATCAATGGCTTGAGAAATATGCTGGATGACCTGACTCTGGTTAGGTCTTCACTGGAATCTGAGCTGGAGTCCTTGAAAGATGAGCTGATTGCTCTGAAGAGAAACCATGAGGAGGTAAGAACCAGCAATCAACAGCACGTTCAAGATACTGCCTGTTGTTATTTTAGGGTTCCTGAAATTAAATATCAAAAATCAGACTTATGCCATGTGATGGCCAATCTCTCACACCTCAGAACTGGTTTTCCCACTGTGCCCAACAGCAGCACTGAGCTGTGCCCCTGCCTTCTCTCCTCGCACCCTGCAGGAATTACGACAGCTGCAGTCTCAGACTGGAGGCGATGTGAGCGTGGAGGTCAACGCTGCTCCCGGAGAAGACTTGACCAAGATTCTCAATGACCTGAGAAATGAGTACGAGCAGATCATTGAGAAGAACCGCCGGGAGGTTGAGCAGTGGTATGAAGTCAAGGTACGCAGCAGTGCCGCAGCGCGCTCTCCTTCCTCGGCACAGCGCAGCTCTCTGCCGCCCTCGCTCTCAGGCAGCAGATCCCCGCTCACGAGGCTCTGCTTTGCTCCCGCAGATCGAAGAAGTCAATCGACAGGTCACCTCCAGCAGCCAGGACATCCAGACCAGCAGCCACCAGCTCACCGAGCTGAAGCGCGAGATGCAGAACCTGGAGATCGAGCTGCAGGCGCAGCTCAGCACGGTACGCGGGGCAGCACGGAGCCTGGGCTCCTCGGGATGGCAAACTGCCTCCTGGGGCACAGCTCTGTCCTGACCCCCTGCCTTCCACCTCCAGAAAGACTCGCTGGAAAACTCCTTGGCCGAGACGGAATCTCGCTACGGCTGCCTGCTGCAGCAAATCCAGGGGCAGATTAACGCCGTAGAGGAGGAGCTGGGCAACATCCGCTGCGAGATGGAGGGCCAGAGCCAGGAGTACAAGATGCTGCTGGGCATCAAGACCCGCCTGGAGCAGGAGATTGCTCAGTACCGGGCGCTGCTGCACGAGGGACAGCAAGACCTTGCGTATGTACACCATATTAAGAGCAAGGGAATGAAGTGAATCTTTTGAGTCTGTAATTTCTTAGAGTTTGCTTGTCTGCTTCAACAGCAGTATGTTCTCTGACCATGTATGCAGTGGCTGTTCTTAACTGTTGGTGAATTGCTCTCCTCTCACAGTGCCTCCCAAGGAGCTTTCCAAGGAGGAGGAAAATCCTCCCAGTCATATTCTTCTAGTTCCTTCTCTCAATCCCAGTCTGGTGACGTGACAGGTAAGATTGCACTTCATCATAATAGCCGTAAAGATTAAAGCTTACTAAAATAGGAATAAATTAAAAAACCCACTTCTGATAATATGCTTAGAGTGCTGCTCCACTTGCAGCCATCTGAACTGCTCCCATGTTCTTTTGGTAACACACCACGATAGATGAAAAAATTCTGTTCTGCTGGAAATATCAGATTTC